ACTACTAAATGACTTGTCCATATATCTACGCCCCTAGATTAAACCTGGGTGTACTAAGGTGGTAACGCCCTCAGTTCAACCGAACTTTGGCAGTTTCAACGATAGGTTGGATATATTGAATGGTTGGGCGTAATCATATGTTGGTAATGGGTCGAAGCATTAATCTTTAAATTTTTCTTTATTAGATGGTTGTGAGTGTGATCTGGACAACGGATCTGGAGTTCCCGTTACCTTTGACATACGTGTTATGGATTGCGAAGTTGGGGAAGAATACGTGCTCAAGCGAGTTCATGGCAGGAATGGTGAACTGTGCACCTTCGCATGTGCTGCCGTCAGCTTCACCACAGAGAAGGTATATCGGGGCCAAAAGGCCGACATGATTACCCAGCGGTGTCTTGGCCACAAGATGAATGGACGCCGCAACCTGGTATACCGGGGACCCATCAAGCTGCGCTGTGTGCCTATCCGTCGCAACACACAATGGGTGTTGTGAGCTGTGCCTGCATAGGGCTATCAGGCCCACGCAGGGGACCAAACTCCAGGTTGCTGTCACTTCTCTGCACCAGTGGCTCCTTGCTGCATCGAGGGCAGGTGGTGACCGACTGAAGACTCGGTCGTGACACGCCGTAGACCATATTTCCTTGGCGGAAGTTGCTCAACATGTGACTCCTGCAGCCATGGTCTGCGTCTGCAGCATAGCTAGTCCGAATTGGGACAGTCGGATGACACTTGGCTGGTGTCATCTGTAAAGGGCAAAGTCAGACCACAACAGAGGCAGGTCCTGAACTACTGCATGTATCCTGTAGGAAAAGGTCCTGTACTCAGGGAAATATTCTCAAATCCAAACGAGGTAGAAGCATTGTGGAGAAAGTGTCAGACCATGTCACATGTTCGCACATGCCACCACTTCCAAATATGTTTTTATTTCATCATACGTCATCATAATCTTGACTCATAAGCATCATACAGAGTTCATCATACAACCCATAATCGTGTTGCTGTTACTGTGACTGCTCTGTATACATGTACCTTTACACCATTAAGCATAGTTTAACCATGTATCCTTATACTGATTTGCGAAATAGCACATCATTGTCAGCAACTCTGAGTGCAGATTTGAACCCATGGTACGCCAACTAGCCTTAAAGTTTTAGGCTTGGTTTACGATGGGTTCAAATAATGCCTGTTCCTTGAGCCTTGTATTTTCAACCTTATTATATTGGTGGGGAGATACAGACAGCTTGTTGAAATATGTCTCAGCTGAAAAATCTGGTTCATATTTATTATATTAATGATTATGAAGTGTCAGTAAAGGTCAACACAACAAAAAATTGTTTTAAATCCTTTAACATAAATTGATGATTGTAAATTTAATTGTAATATTAATATGTAAATTACAATTACCTACGTGCTGCACTTATTCATTTGTATAGGTATGTATTCATCCATACATATGCTTTCAATACCCCATGACTTGGTATTGAACTCAGTTCATTTAATGAGTGTTCACGGTTCGATCCCTGGGGGGGTGGGATGCTAGTGTTACCTTAGCATTGTTGGTGAAAGGCTCTGGGTCCAAGGAATTGAAGCTACCCTTCACCTTATTATATTCAAAGGGGGAGCACGTACCCGTAGAGGTCATACATTATTATAATTATGGGGTGCTAAACCTGTAGGATTATACAGCGCATGTGGGAGAGGAATGGAAGGTATTCAGGTTACTGGAGCACAGACCCAATTCTCAAGATCAAGAGCCCCTTACCAGGGTAGATCATACAGTGCTTTGATTCAAGGAACTGGAGCACTGGTCAAACTCCCTAGGCCCCTTGGATAAAACCTTACCTCCCATTCTCATGAGATGTATTTGTACAGGTTATTATACAGTAAAGAGTATTTTAATTTACCTGTATTAAATATCCATTCTTGCAATAAGTCTGAAAAAAATTGAAACCTGTTTGACTCTTTATGAAGTGCAGGATAGATTATACTAACAGCATGGTAAACCAATATGGGTTATTGGATGCTTTATTCATTTCAAGCTCCAAAATGCACTACGTTTTGTCCAATGAACTAATAAAGAAAAATCATTAAGCGTATATATTAATTAGGGGTTGCCAAATGAATTGCTCTACTATTACTGTTGTAACTATTTTACACAATATGGGAAGGAGCCTTGTCTGACAGTCTTCTGTTGCTGGATAAACTGTGTAATTAAGATAAAATGGTCTGCTAATAATATTAATACAATCAGAATTAAGCACTTAACCTACAAGGGCCCATGCCCATAAACTGGTAAACTTACTAAGGACTGAAAAAGGGTAAAAACAATAAAAAGTGAAACATTCTAGTGCTGCTACTATTGAACATGCCAACACAACTTACTAAAACAAAGTAGAACAAGTAGGAATTGAAAAGTAGAGGATTACATCAAATTTGGTTTTACAGAGACCATGAACCAGTTAGATTGTTGAACATACACAAGCATTATTTTTTTTTTTAACACATCGGCCATTTCCCACTGAAGCAGGGTGACTCCCCCAAAAAAGAAAAACTTTCATTAACATTTAACACTTTCATCATTCATACATAATCATTGTCCTTTCAGAGGTGCTCAAATACAACAGTTTAGATGTCACTCCAAACAGCTAAAGTGCAAGCATTGTATTTCCCATTTCCAGGACTCGATTCCGGCTAACCAGTTTCCCTGAATCCCTTCACAAAATAACATGCTCACACTCCAACAGCTCATCAGGTCCCAAAATCTATTTATATCTATTCACTCCTATCTAACATGCTCACGTACACTTGCTGGAAGTCCAAGCCCCTCACACACAAAACCCCCTTTCCCCCCTCCCTCCAACCTTTCCTACTCTGCCTTCCTTCCACTACAGATTATTATTATTATTATAATTAAAACTAAGTGCTAAACCACCAAGTGCTGAGTAAAAGTAGCTTGAATCCCATGAAATAACATCCTGACATGAAAGAAAAAAATTAGGAAAAAAAAAAAAATTCCACCTCCATAAGTGATAAAACCATGTGCAGCTCTGGTAAAATATCTGATAGATGAATTTTCTTTTGCAGAAAAAATTGTGCATTAAGTAGGCCTTAGACAAGGATGTGTGATGTCACCGTGGTTGTTTAATATATTTATAGATGGGGTTGTAAGAAGTAAATGCGAGGGTCTTGGCAAGAGGCGTGGAGTTAAAAGATAAAGAATCACACATAAAGTGGGAGTTGTCACAGTTGCTCTTTGCTGATGACACTGTGCTCTTGGGAGATTCTGAAGAGAAGCTGCAGAGGTTGGTGGATGAATTTGGTAGGGTGTGCAAAAGAAGAAAATTAAAAGTGGATAACAAAAAGATTAGGTGATGAATGATTGGATATCAGATTGGAGGGAGAGAGTATGGAGGAGGTGAATGTATTCAGGTATTTGGGAGTGGACGTGTCAGCGGATGGGTCTATGAAAGATGAGGTGAATCATAGAATTGATGAGGGGAAAAGGGTGAGTGGTGCACTTAGGAGTCTGTGGAGACAAAGAACTTTGTCCTTGGAGGCAGAGAGGGGAATGTATGAGAGTATAGTTTTACCAACGCTCTTATATGGGTGTGAAGCATGGGTGATGAATGTTGCAGCGAGGAGAAGGCTGGAGGCAGTGGAGATGTCATGTCTGAGGGCAATGTGTGGTGTGAATATAATGCAGAGAATTCGTAGTTTGGAAGTTAGGAGGAGGTGCAGGATTGCCAAAACTGTTGTCCAGAGGGCTGAGGAAGGGTTGTTGAGGTGGTTCGGACATGTAGAGAGAATGGAGGGAAACAGAGTGACTTCAAGAGTGTATCAGTCTGTAGTGGAAGGAAGGCGGGGTAGGGGTCGGCCTAGGAAAGGTTGGAGGGAGGGGGTAAAGGACGTTTTGTGTGCGAGGGGCTTGGACTTCCAGCAGGCATGCGTGAGCGTGTTTGATAGAGTGAATGGAGACAAATGGTTTTTAATACTTGACGTGCTGTTGGAGTGTGAGCAAAGTAACATTTATGAAGGGGTTCAGGGAAACCGGCAGGCCGGACTTGAGTCCTGGAGATGGGAAGTACAGTGCCTGCACTCTGAAGGAGGGGTGTTAATGTTGCAGTTTAAAAACTGTAGTGTAAAGCACCCTTCTGGCAAGACAGTGATGGAGTGAATGATGGTGAAAGTTTTTCTTTTTCGGGCCACCCTGCCTTGGTGGGAATCGGCCAGTGTGATAAAAAAAAGAAAAAAAAAAGTTTCAAGATACATCAAAGATATTGATTTTTTGTGAAGCAGAGCTAATGAGTAAAACTTGTTTGTGGGCTACATACATGAATCTTCTATTGAAGAAGATATGCTTATTTGTCAGTCTCTTTTACCAAACCCATGGGTATATTTTAACTATTTTGCAGTTAATGAAAGCTGCTAATTTCATCTGTTCAAGATACTTCAAGTCACCTTAGAGAAAGGTTTTACATCAGGGATAAAGGTCAAACAGCACATGGAAAATAGGAGTTACTTGGCTTTGGTCCAAAGAAAAATCAAGTACATTCCTTGAATCAAGAACCTCCTGCCAGTATCAAGGCACCTCTTGAGGGGTACAGATACAGTAAAATAATTATAATCATCATCACACTTATGGGATGAGTGGTAAACCTGCAGTGGTCTTGCAGCACCAGGAAGGAATGGAAGACAAGTAGTGTTCAGTTTAAGGAAGGCTTGATAAAAAAAATTAACAATTAAATTAACATTTAACATCAAAATGTTAATGTATCTTGGCAAGTGAGATGAACCCAACTGTGCACTGTGTAAAAAGTACTGTTAAATTAACATGTAATACTAAGGGTAAGGATTAAGTATTGTACAAAGAACAAGCTGGTATAGCTGTGAATGAGTACACAAATACATCAAAATTTCTGGGAAAATTAACCAGTCCATCCTTTACCAGAGATCATAATGTTTTTTTAACATAGTCAACTAGGACACTTTAATGAAATAACTTCAAAATTAACTAATTTGTATTTCAATGTTTTTCAAGTTTTACATAAAATATCATTACTAAAATACATTATATACTTAACACTAGTAAGATCTGACAGTAATAAATTTCAAGCTGTCAGTCTACTAGTAACATTCTTGTTAGCCACACAGTTAAAAACTACCCAAAATACCACTGGTCAAAAAACAACTAGATAAACTTCTTCAGAGGATGCCAAATTATTATTATATTCATAGGCAGTCCTAAACCCACAGGGATGTTAGGGTAATAACTGTGTAAGCTTGCGGGACAGAAGCACCAAGGAGACTTGACTCAGTAGAAAAAACTCTAAATTAATCACAATTATATATCAGTATCATCCACTTTATTTATGCAAACATATTATTTATAGGTTTGATTTTAAGTCAAGTTGCTTGCAAGTTGCTTGTAGTCAGTTTTAAGGGTTACTGTCTTTGCAGCCCAGTGCCAGACCAGGCTTTCAGGTTGCTAACCTGAGTAACAAGGCTGTTGGTGCCAGCCACATCCAATTCCTAGGATCAAGAGCCTTTCACCAGGATCCATGGTTTTTACTGTATGCTGTTTGAAACTGTAATGATTCTCAATCATTTTCAGTGCAGGCGCTGTACTTAACAGCTTTTAAAACTTCAGTCCAGGTATCCAGTTTCCCTGAATTTCTTCGTAGATATTATCTTTCTAACACTTCAACAGCATATCAAACTAAACTTCCTTTGTTAATTTTTTTTATTAAAAACTACATGCTATTTGCTCTCAATTCTAATTTCATAAACAACTACACCTACCACTGATATTAATTTTCAAGGTTACTTTTACGAAGTAGATCAGGAGATGGGATGCATTAGTACCTGCACTCTGAAGGATGGGTGGGGATGCTGTGTGGTTTCAAGTCACTGGAACAGTAATATCCAAACATTTTTGGAAACAGCTAGAGAATGAGTGGCAGTGACTATTTCTTTGGGTCACTACTTTAGTGGAAAATGGCTAGTGTAATGTTTTTTTATACGTACTGGACTTCAAATTTTGTGTTACAATGTGTATTAAAAATTATGGATTAACTGATAATTAGACGTTCAAGTGAATAAAGGGCTGAGCTGTGTGTTCGTTTGGAGAAACTCTTGGCTTCCAAAATCCGATTAATCAAAGGCTCTATGTCCTCCAATCCTTCCAGGAACTTGCGCTGTAGAAAGAAAAAGTTACTAGAACGGAGGTAAAGAACATTAATTTATGTCTTAATTATAAATAACTTTACAAATCACACAAAGAAATATTTGCTGTAACTAAACATACTTCTGTATGTTTAATTACAGTGCTTACGAAAGATGTTAAACATTATATATATATATATGTCATGTTAGAAATCGTTAAAGGCATCACATTTAACCCCTAAACGGTTCAAACATATACAGTGGTCCCCCGCTTTTCGTAGTTCCCGGCAATCGTAAAATTCGCCAATCATAGAGGTATTTTCGTATAAACATGGACTCTCTTTTCATAGGTTGACTCGCGAGTCGTAGTTTGTCCGGGATGCATACCCACGGCGTGAGCCAGGGCGGCAGCCAGTCTGGCATTGTTTACCAGTGAGCGAAGGTCCCCTCACGTGCTCCAGCAAAATATTTCATAATATTCCATTTATTTTAGTGCTTGCAAGTACTAAATAAGCTACCATGGCTCCAAAGAAAGCTCCTAGTGCCAAGCCTGTGGTAAAGAAGGTGAGAAATACGATTGAATTTAAGAAAACCATCATTGAACAATATGAAAGTGGTACAAGTGTGGCCGAACTGTCCAGGATGTATAAGAAACCCTACACAACCTTATGTTCCATAGTGGCCAAGAAAAATGAAATAAAGGATGCTGTTGTTGCAAAGGGAGTAACTATGCTGACAAAAATGAGATCACCAGTACTGGAAGAGGTTGAGAAGTTATTATTGGTGTGGATAAATAAGAAACAATTAGCAGGAGATACTCTTATGACTTCGTTTATTTGTGAAAAGGCTAGGCAGTTGCATGAAGATTTGGTAAAGAAATTGCCTGCAACTAGTGGTGAAGTGAGTGAATTTAAGGCCAGCAAAGGCTGGTTTGAGAGATTTAAGAACCGTACTGGCATACACAGTGTGGTAAGGCATGGTGAGGCTGCCAGTTCGGACCACAAGGCGGCTGAAAAATATGTGCATGAATTCCTGGAGTGCATAGAGGCTGAAGGACTGAAACCTGAACAAGTGTTCAATTGTGACGAAACAGGCCTCTTTTGGAAGAAAATGCCAAAGAGGACCTTCATTACACAAGAGGAAAAGGCAATGCCAGGACACAAGCCTATGAAAGACAGGCTGATGCTAATGTTCTGTGCTAATGCTAGTGGGGATTTCAAAGTGAAGCCATTACTAGTGTACCATTCTGAAAATCCCAGTGTGTTTCAGGAAAACAAACGTTATGAAAGAAAAGTTGTGTGTGTTTTGGAAATCTAATAGTAAGGCATGGGTCACAAGGGAAATTTCGTCGAGTGGTTCAATGAAGTGTTTGGCCCTAGTGTGACGGAGTATCTCCCTGGAAAGAAATTGGATCCAAGTGCCGCTAGTAATGGACAATGCACCTGCTCATCCTCCAACTTGGATGACCTAATTTTCGAGGAAGTTTTGGGTTCATTCACAGTAAAGTTCTTGCCCCAATACCACTCCTCGCCTCCACCCATGGGAACCAGCAGGTTTATTGCCAACCTTTAAAAAACTCTACACCAAAGCATGTTTCACAGTGCTTGACTGTGATCCGACAGACACTCACTTGACCCTAGGGAATTTTGGAGAGAAAAATTCCACATCCTCCACTGCATACCCTTATAGGTAAGGCTTGGAGGGAGTGACTACCAGGACTTTGAACTCTGCTGGAGAAAATGGTGAGCCAGATTGTGTCGACAAAAGTGGATTTTGAAGAATTTTGGACGACCCTAATGAGCCTATGTCTGTTGTAAAATCAATTGTGGCACTGGTGGAGTTCCATGGGGTTGGATGTGAGTTTGGAGGATGTGAAGAATTGGTGTAAGACCACATGAAGAGCTCACCACTGAGGAGCTGCAAGAGCTTCAGCAGGAAGAGCACACATTGCAGCTCAGAATCTTGCTGCAGAGGCGGAGGAAGATGAGTAGGAAGAAGGGCCTACTTCAGAAATTAAAGAGATTTTTACTATGTTGGGTAAGTGGAAACTTTAATTGGAGAAACATCACCCTAACAAGGTTGTTGCAAGCCAGGTTGCTACATGTACAGTGACAAAGTCTTGGGCTTTTAGGGAAGTGGTTAATTAAAGAAATGCAGAAACAAAGCTCACTCATTCCACAGTTATTTTTTGTGAGGACAGGACACCAGTGACTCTCAAGTTGGTCCTAGTGCATTAAGAAACAGAGAAGAAAAGCAACCCCAGAAAAGCAAATGGTACCCTGAGGTGTTGATGGAAGGGATTCCCCTTCCAAACTTAAACATCCACTCTCTCTCCTCCTCCATTCTCCCCAACACTAAGAAAATCCCACCAATAAAGGTAAGTGTTATGCTGTTAATGTTTCATTCATCATTTCCATTGTATTGTTTTATGTACTACATGCATATTTCATGTTAAAAATTTTTTTGTTTTAATACTTCTGGGTGTCAGGAACGGATTAATTGTATTTACATTATTTCTTATGGGGAAAATTGATTCGTAATGTAAATTTTCGTGTTATAGTACGGCTCAGAACGTATTAAATACGAACAACGAGGGACACACTGTATATACCAATCTCTCCCCACCCCCAGGCCCTGAACATTTTTGAAAAATAAAAAATAGTTTTTTTTTTTATTGAAATACAGAGAAAATTTTTCTAAGTGTATGAGGATTAAAATGAAAAAAAAAATAGGGTCAGTACTTACTGAGATATGAAGCGGCAATGTTGGCACTTAACCCTTTGACTGTCGCAACTGCCCCAATCCTGAGGTGTCTTCCTTCCTGGTGTCGCAAAAATTTTAAAAAAAAAAAAATTATTTTTTCTTATGAAATGATAGAGAATCTTTTCCCGATTGTAATGACACCCAAAAAACGAAATTTGATGGAAAACTGACGGAATTATGCTCTTGCAAAGCTAGCGACCTCGGCGCTGTTTACAAATCGGCGATTTCGCCCACTTTGAGCCCTAATTTCGCTAATTCCATTGTTTCCAGTCACTCCGAAAAACTCAAGCTATTCTTAAGAACTCCATTCTTTCTAATTGATTGTGTACAAGAAACTGCCCATTTACCGTTTTCAACTACCTAAATAATGTGGTTAAAATTTGCAATTTGGCCAATTTTCACGAAAACTAAAAAAATTTTATTTTATGACAATTTCAAAATAAGGTCCAGAATGAACACTGCAGACATTCCTGGCTCTAAGATATCATTTTCTTTGCTCATGCAGTCAAGTCTCCAGGCCCCTCACTGATATTACTCTTTGCTTCTATATTGAATTTTTAATCAAACAAAATAGAAGACTTACTATTATGCAGACTACTGCAATACTGTAATAATTGTATAAATAACATCAACCCATTCATGACTGCATATTAGAATGGCTAGTTGGAAATTTATTGGGCAATGGCATCAAATTTTTTTACTTTTGAACATTGGCAAAAATCAAACATTTCCCTACTTTGAGCTCCATTTCTAGGTTCTTTTTATAGTAAAATCAATCAAAATCACCTCTATTTCTATAATATGTTTCCATTCTATCAAATGAGACCAAGAAAACGAGAATACAACCATAAATACTATACGAAAATAGACCACAAATTCGGCATTTTAACCCTTTGACTGTCGCGGCCGTATATATACGTTTGCGAGGTACCGTGTTTGACGTATATATACTCATAAATTCTAGTGGCTTCAAAACAGGCAGGAGAAAGCTAGTTGGCCCACATGTGAGAGAAAGGGTCTGTGTGGTCAGTGTGCACCACATAAAAAAAATCCTGGAGCACGCAGTGCATAATGAGAAAAAAAAAACTCCGACCGTTTTTTTTAATTAAAATGCCGACTTTGTGGTCTATTTTCGTATAGTATTTGTGGTTGTATTCTCGTTTTCTTGGTCTCATTTGATAGAATGGAAACTATATTATAGAAATGGAGGTGATTTTGATTAATTTTACTATAAAAAGAACCTGGAAATGGAGCACAAAGTACAGGAAATGTTTGATTTTTGCCGATGTTCAAAAGTAAACAAATGATGTCATTGTCCAATAAATGTCCAAATAGCCATTCTAATACGCAGTCATGAATGGGTTGATGTAATTTTTACAATTATTACAGTATTGCAGTAGTCTGCATAACAGTAAATCTTCTATTTTTTGTTTGAATAAAATTTCAAAATAAAAAGCAAGAGTAATATCACAGGGACCTGGAGACATGACTGATGAACAAAGAAAATGTTATTTTAGAGCCAGGAATGTCTGCATTGTTCATTCTGGACCTTATTTTGAAATTGTCGTATTTTTTAATTTTCGTGAAATTGGCCAAATTGCAAATTTCTGACCATGTTATTGGGTAGTTGAAATCGGTAAATGGGCAGTTTCTTGTACTCAATCGATAGAAAAAATAGAGTTCTGAAGAAATAGTTATGAGTTTGGTTGACTGGAATAACGGAATTAGCCGAAAATAGGGCTCAAAGTGGGCGAAATTGCCGATTTTTAAATATCGCCGAAGTCGCTAACTTCGCGAGAGCGTAATTCCGTCAGTTTTCCATCAAATTTCGTTTTTTTGGTGTCTTTACAATCGGGAAAAGATTCTCTATCATTTCATAAGAAAAAATAATTTTTTTTTTTTCGAAAATTTTGCGACACCAGAAGCAACTTCAGGATTTGGCGCTTCGACAGTCAAAGGGTTAATTAAAAAAAAACGGTCGGAGTTTTTTTTTCTCATTATGCACTGCGTGCTCCAGGATTTTTTTTATATGGTGCACACTGGCCACACAGACCCATTCTCTCACATGTGGGCCTACCAGCTTTCTCCTGCTTGATTTGAAGCCGCTAGAATTTATGAGTACATATACGTCAAACACGGTACCTCGTAAGACGTATATATACGGCCGCGACAGTCAAAGGGTTAATGCCCACCTGACGGCAACATCGAGTCCTGCTCTTGAGGAAGTGTTGCCGATATACCATTTTTCTCATTTTTATATTATTTTATATAATTTTTATGTTCTGATAATTACAATTTATTGTATTTCTTGGCATTTCATAACCAATCTTTGTTCTGACACTAATATTAGCTACTGAGATTGCACTCAAATTGTCACAAACACATTGACAAGTGGACATTTACACCTGCCTTGGTCATTTACTATTGTCTAGGAATATATACAAAGTATTTATAGGTCCCAGCAATGTTTTGGATACATGGGAATATAGAAGGAAGGAGGAGGAGGAAGAAGGAAGAAGCTCCCTTGTAGCAATGTGACAAGCATCTGGGACGGCAATGATGAGATATGGGATGACATTTGATGGGTGCCAGCTAGGGTGTAGAGATAAGAGGAGATAAGCTATGACATTTGATGGGCACCAGCAAGGGTGCAGAGATAAGGGATGACATCTGATAAGCTCGTATCTCTGTCTCTGATTATCTGTCTTGTCTCTCTGTCTGCTTGTCTCTTTCCGTCTCTCTGCTTGTGTGTCTCAGAGAGAGCCACTGTAAACCAACAGGTATTCATATGCATTATATCTACAAGCATAGTATAGCACTTCGGATTTTTTAGGTTAGCCTAGGTAATTTACACTATGTATAATCGTATTTGTGTGTACCTGTGAGACAGATAAAAAGAGATAGAGAGACGTAGATGAATGGTTCAGAGAACCGACATGTTGATAAAATACACACATGTGCAACTCTTGGGTATCTTTATTGAGGAAACGTTTCGCCACACAGTGGCTTCATCAGTCCATACAAAGGAGAAACGTGAAGAGCAGGAGGAGAATGAGGTAATCAGTTCCTCAACCTTGATTCGATGTGGTCAGTCCATCAATCTTGAATAGAATACAGCATATAAGCGGAGAAGTGGCTTATATACCGTAGGCAGGAGAGGTGCAGCAGTTGTAGGTGGTGTCACATTTGTCCATGTGGAAGTAGGTCGTGCCCAAGGGTTAGGCAAGCGAAGAATTCCCAAGTATTAAGATCCCAAGAAGTTGCAGTGTCTGACAGGAATGCAGATGAATGGTTCAGAGAACCAACATCAAATCAAGGTTGAGGGACTGATTACCTCATTCTCCTCCTGCTCTTCACGTTTCTCCTTTGTATGGACTGATAAAGCCACTGTGTGGCGAAACGTTTCCTCAATAAAGATACCCAAGAGTTGCACATGTGTCTATTTTATCATCAGATAGAGAGAGAGATAGACAGAGACAGAGATAGACAGACCCTAAACTTGGGGTTAACATCACTTTCCTCTTAAAAGGGGAGTGTTAATATGACATTACATCAGTGAATCCTTGGTGTTTGCCACACTGTTTGCTTGAGCTGGCGCTCCCACAAGGTACTAAGTGGTCCCAAATTTTTTTAATATGATGCACACCGAGTGTTAAGACCCATTCTATGCTGACCAGGCATCTCAGGCCAACCGTGCCAAATTTGGAGGCAGGAAAAATAAAACGTATATATGTTTGGGGCACTAGCAGTATATATGTATATATCTGGACAGTTTAGGGGTTAAAAAAAATATGTGAAGAACTGTATCTATATCTGAATACAGTGACCCCTCTCTCTAAATCAAGTACCAAATTATTAAAAATTATTTTATTTATAATTAGAGTAGTCTACAAAATTAAACTTTTTATTCAGTTCAAAAATCAAACTGGATGTTTAATGCTAACTTTGGTGTGTTGATCACAAATCTTAGCTTGTTTAGTCACTTTAACATTTTTTTTTTTTGAAGTCTTATGATTAATAATTTCAATAAATAGGTTTGAAGAATCACATGATAGTGTATGTTTCTTAACAATCATAGGTAATAAGATATTAAGTGTGGTACATGTAATGAGAAAACTACTACTTAATGTAAATTTATTATACACATGTATAACAAAACTAACTGAAATTTCCAGTCATAAAAACATATTTTACACCAGTTTTCATAATTTTTCACTTGTCTTCAGTATCGCTCTTCTACACCAGTGTCTAGCAGTAGTCTGCCATCAAACTGATCAAACTTGATGGTTATGTTTTGGTGAAATCATTCAGTGTGTTCATCACCAAGGTTTGGCGGGAGCAGGTCAAGGTGAGAACGGTGGAAATGAATCTTGAGGGACATCTAATATACCAGTAGACATGCTGTCAACAGGTCTTCTACAATATTTCTGTAATCATACTCCAACAGCATACCCATTAAAAACCAATTGTCTTCATTTATAAACACTTATTTTTTAACCTGAAGAATTTTTTTTTTGAGATCAATTAAAAAACAAACTTACTTCTGTTGTCTGGCCTTAAAGAGCTTCACATCAATAAAATAAACTTACTAAGTTTGTAATGTGAGTGAAGCAGGAGAGGAGGTGACGGTGAATGCTGACCTCAGATGTCATGACCAGCTGATGATAATTAGCATCAAGTAGCATGCTGAGCCACAAGCTGGCTTGACACAGTGAGGGTACTCTTACTTGGTTGTCTGGGATCTCTTCTGCCTGAAAGTTGATAAAAAACAGTACTTGTTTTATAAGAAGACAAAAAAGGGCAATAAAAATAAAAAATATCCGCTGGGAATCAAATAATGCTTTTATCATTTAGCAACACAATATTTATAGATGGGGTTGTAAGAGAAGTAAATGCGAGGGTCTTGGCAAGAGGCGTGGAGTTAAAAGACAAAGAATCACACACAAAGTGGGAGTTGTCACAGCTGCTCTTTGCTGATGACAGTGTGCTCTTGGGAGATTCTGAAGAGAAGTTGCAGAGATTGGTGGATGAATTTGGTAGGGTGTGCAAAAGAAGAAAATTAAAGGTGAATACAGGAAAGAGTAAGGTTATGAGGATAACAAAAAGATTAGGTGATGAAAGATTGAATATCAGATTGGAGGGAGAGAGTATGGAGGAGGTGAATGTATTCAGATATTTGGGAGTGGACGTGTCAGCGGATGGGTCTATGAAAGATGAGGAGAATCATAGAATTGATGAGGGGAAAAGAGTGAGTGGTGCACTTAGGAGTCTGTGGAGACAAAGAACTTTGTCCTTGGAGGCAAAGAGGGGAATGTATGAGAGTATAGTTTTACCAACGCTCTTATATGGGTGTGAAGCATGGGTGATGAATGTTGCAGCGAGGAGAAGGCTGGAGGCAGTGGAGATGTCATGTCATAGGGCAATGTGTGGTGTGAATATAATGCAGAGAATTCGTAGTTTGGAAGTTAGGAGGAGGTGCGGGATTACCAAAACTGTTGTCCAGAGGGCTGAGGAAGGGTTGTTGAGGTGGTTCGGACATGTAGAGAGAATGGAGCGAAACAGAATAACTTCAAGAGTGTATCAGTCTGTAGTGGAAGGAAGGCGGGGTAGGGGTCGGCCTAGGAAAGGTTGGAGAGAGGGGGTAAAGGAGGTTTTGTGTGCGAGGGGCTTGGACTTCCAGCAGGCATGCGTGAGCGTGTTTAATAGGAGTGAATGGAGACAAATGGTTTTTAATACTTGACGTGCTGTTGGAGTGTGAGCAAAGTAACATTTATGAAAGGGTTCAGGGAAACCGGCAGGCCGGACTTGAGTCCTGGAGATGGGAAGTACAGTGCCTGCACTCTGAAGGAGGGGTGTTAATGTTGCAGTTTAAAAACTGTAGTGTAAAGCACCCTTCTGGCAAGACAGTGATGGAGTGAATGATGGTGAAAGTTTTACTTTTTCGGGCCACCCTGCCTTGGTGGGAATCGGCCAGTGTGATAATAATAAAAAATAATAAAATAGAAAGGCAAAAGAAATGTAAGAAGGCATAGTCCAGTCCCAAAATATGAACAAAATATATTCCTAGAAATCATTTATAGCTCAAAACTTAATTTCCCAATTCAATCAAATTTTATGTATTTTTCACTGTGAAAAAAAAAGAAGTGTTACTTAATCCTTTGACTGTTTTGGTCGTATATATACGTCTTACGAGCCAGTGTTTCAGATGTATATATAATCAATAATTCAATAATTCATGACAGAAATGTTAAAAGCAGAGGGGGATATAGTGTTGGAGTGGTTGGTACTTTTGTTTAATAAATGTATGAAAGAGGGGAAGGTACCTAGGGATTGGCGGAGAGCATGTATAGTCCCTTTATATAAAGGGAAGGGGGACAAAAGAGATTGTAAAAATTATAGAGGAATAAGTTTACTGAGTATACCAGGAAAAGTATACGGTAGGGTTATAATTGAAAGAATTAGAGGTAAGACAGAATGTAGGACTGCGGATGAGCATGGAAGCTTCAGAGTGGGTAGGGGATGTGTAGATCAAGTGTTTACATTGAAGCATATATGTGAACAGTATTTAGATAAAGGTAGGGAAGTTTTTATTGCATTTATGGATTTAGAAAAGGCATATGATAGAGTGGATAGAGGAGCAATGTGGCAGATGTTGCAAGTATATGGAATAGGTGGTAAGTTACTAAATGCTGTTAAGAGTTTTTATGAGGATAGTGAGGCTCAGGTTAGGGTGTGTAGAAGAGAGGGAGACTACTTCCCGGTAAAAGTAGGTCTTAGACAGGGATGTGTAATGTCACCATGGTTGTTTAATATATTTATAGATGGGGTTGTAAAGGAAGTAAATGCTAGGGTGTTCGGGAGAGGGGTGGGATTAAATTTTTGGGAATCAAATTCAAAATGGGAATTGACACAGTTACTTTTTGCTGATGATACTGTGCTTATGGGAGATTCTAAAGAAAAACTGCAAAGGTTAGTGGATGAGTTTGAGAATGTGTGTAAAGGTAGAAAGTTGAAAGTGAACATAGAAAAGAGTAAGTTGATGAGGGTATCAAATGATTTAGATAAAAAAAAATTGGATATCAAATTGGGGAGCAGGAGTATGGAAGAAGTGAATGTTTTCAGATACTTGGGAGTTGACGTGTCGGCGGATGGATTTATGAAGGATGAGGTTAATCATAGAATTGATGAGGGAAAAAAGGTGAGTGTGGTTGCGTTGAGGTATATGTGGAGTCAAAAAACGTTATCTATGGAGGCAAAGAAGGGAATGTATGAAAGTATAGTAGTACCAACACTCTTATATGGATGTGAAGCTTGGGTGGTAAATGCAGCAGCGAGGAGACGGTTGGAGGCAGTGGAGATGTCCTGTCTAAGGGCAATGTGTGGTGTAAATATTATGCAGAAAATTCGGAGTGTGGAAATTAGGAGAAGGTGTGGAGTTAATAAAAGCATTAGTCAGAGGGCTGAAGAGGGGTTGTTGAGGTGGTTTGGTCATTTAGAGAGAATGGATCAAAGTAGAATGACATGGAAAGCATATAAATCTATAGGGGAAGGAAGGAGGGGTAGGGGTCGTCCTCGAAAGGGTTGGAAAGAGGGGGTAAAGGAGGTTTTGTGGGCGAGGGGCTTGGACTTCCAGCAAGCGTGCATGAGTGTGTTAGATAGGAGTGAATGGAGACGAATGATACTTGGGACCTGACGATCTGTTGGAGTGTGAGCAGGGTAATATTTAGTGAAGGGATTCAGGGAAACCGGTTATTTTCATATAGTCGGACTTGAGTCCTGGAAATGGGAAGTACAATGCCTGCACTTTAAAGGAGGGGTTTGGGATATTGGCAGTTTGGAGGGATATGTTGTGTATCTTTATATGTATATGCTTCTAAACTGTTGTATTCTGAGCACCTCTGCAAAAACCTGTGATAATGTGTGAGTGTGGTGAAAGTGTTGAATGATGATGAAAGTATTTTCTTTTTGGGGATTTTCTTTCTTTTTTGGGTCACCCTGCCTCGGTGGGAGACGGCCTACTTGTTGAAAAAAAAAAAAAAAAAAAAAAAAATTCTAGCTGCTTCAAATCAAGCGGAAGAAAGCTGGTAGGCCCACATATGAGAGAATGGGTCTGTATGGTCAGTGTGCACCACATAAAAAAAATCCTGCAGCACAGTGCGTAATGAGAAAAAAAACTCTGATCGTTTTTTTGGATTAAAATGCCGACTTTGAGGTGTATTTTCGTATAGTATTTATCGATGTATTTGCGTTTTCATGGTCTTAAGTGATAAAACGGAAAACATATTACAGAAATAGAGATGATTTTCATTACTTTGACGATGAAAACGTCCTTGAAACTGAGCTCAAAGTAGCGGAAAAGTTCGATTTTTACCAATGTTCAGGAGTAAACAAATCACACCACACGTCCAATACACGTCAACTGGGGAGTCTAATATTCTTTCACTAGTGCACTGATATTATTTATACCATTTTTACAATAATGCAGTAGTCTGCATAACAGTAAATTTTGTATTTTTTTGTATGAATAAAAAATCAAAATAGAAAGCAATAATAATATAAGAGGGGCCTAGAGATGTGACTAATGAACAGAGGATATGTTATTTTAGTGCCAAGAATGTCTACCTTGTTTATTCTGGACCCTATTTTGAAATTGGCATCTTTTTAGTTTGCGTGAAATTGGCCAAATTGCCAATTTCTGACCACAATATTGGGTAGTCCAAATTGGTAAATGGGAGGTTTCTTGCACTCAGCTGATAGATAAAATGGAGTTCTGAAGAAATAGCTATGAGTTTGGTCAACTGGAACAACGGAATTGGCTGAAAATAGGGCTCAAAGTCAGCGAAATCGCCAATACGCATATGTCGCTGAGACTGATAAATTCGCGGGAGCGTAATTCCATGAGTTTTCGATCAAATTTCGAACTTTTGGTGTCATTACCATCAGGAAAAGATTCTCTATCATTTCATAAGAAATTTTTTTTTTTTTTTTTAAATTTAGTGACATAGAATGACAGTTTCAGAAAGGGACCTGAAACAGTCAAAGGGTTAACCCTTAACCCTTTCAGGGTCCAGAGGCCAAATTTCAAAGTGCGCACCAGGGTCCAAGAAATTTCCCCCCAAAATTTTGTTATTTTTTCTAATGAAATAGCAGAAAATCTTTTTCTGAAGATAATAAAACAAAAAGTACAAAATCTGATGGAAAATTGACAAAATTATGCTCTCGCAAATTTTGATGTGTCAGTGATATTTACGATTTGGCGATTTTGCCGACTTTAACTCCCATTTTAGGCCAATTACATTATTCCAGTCGACCAAATTCTTAGCATTTTCACTAGTATTACTTCTATTCTATCGATTGAGCACAAGAAATCGCCCAGTCAACTGTTTCAACTACAAAATAAAGTGATCGGAAATTGGTAATTTGGCCAATTTAACACAAAGTGAAAAATATTCCAATTTCAAAATACGGTCCAGAATAAACAATGCAGGCATTCCTGGCACTAAACTAACATTTCCTCTGTTCATTAGTTATGTTTTCAGGCTTTACAAATGAATTCCATTTTGATTTTTTATTCACATAATGAATTTTTATTCAAACCAAAAAATAGAAGATTTACTGTTATGCAATAATTGTATAAATATCATCACCACATTTGTGAATGTATATCAGACCCACCAGCTGGCGTGTATTAGAAGAGTGAGGTCGTTTGTTTACTCTTGAACATCGACAAAAATTTAACATTTCTGCTACTTTGAGCTCAGTTTCAAGCCATTTCCAGTAATAAAACCAATCAAAATCATCTCTATTTCTGTAATAATCTTCCATTCTACCCAAATGAGACCAAGGAATCCCAAATACAACTATAAAAAACATACAAAAAACACTGCAAAGTCGCTGGTTTAATCGAAAATCACATTTCTTAGCCTTTTTTTCTCTCATTATCCCACTGTGCTGCAGGATTTGTTTTATGTGGTGCAACTACCACATAGATGTATTCTCTCATATCTAGGCCCAAATTTACCATTCACAGCTTATCAGAGAGAGCTGAGCACATGGCGTAGATCTACGGTTTGGACCCTGAGCGTAAAGCCGTAGATCTACGGCACGGGCACTGAAAGGGTTAAACTGTCCAAACAGATTTACGTTTACATGCGTAGTGCTCCAAAAGTAGAGCTACATTTTTTTTTACATATTTTCAAATATAACAAAAAAAACAAAAACAAAAACAAAGTAGATCAAGTTTTTTTTACACGTTTTCAAATGTAAAAAAAAAAAAAAAAATCTACATTTTTTACATACTTTCAAATGCTGAAAAAACGTAGATCTACGTTTGGACAGTTTAAGGGTTAACAATGAGGAATTGATGGAGAGGAAAGGATAGGCAGAAGAGATGGGAAAATATATAATCCAGGCAATGTACCAACTGACTGCAACATGGCTGGTTAACTTCACTCTTTTCATCAGCAAGCCCAGAAGGTGACAGATACAGGCATGATTCCTACTGTTCAACATGGGACTGATGAAGCCTTATACTTTTTCTTAGTTATTACGGGTTATTATGGGGAAATACCATACTGCAATATCATTTACACTAGGTTGAGTTGTATTAGTTGCACAGGTTTAGACCTGATAGGTTATTTAGCAATTTTAACATGAAAAGTTATTAACAACACTAAAAGCCCTTTCACTGTCCAGACCTCAATCTGAAACTTGTCTAAAATGTCCAAGAATTTTCAAAAATATATTTTGTTAATTTTTCTTATGAAATGGTAGAGAATCTTTTTCTGAAGGTTATCAAACAAAAAGTACAAAATTTGATCGAAAATTGATGAAATTACACTTTTGCGAATTTTGCTGTGTCAGTGATATTTATGTATCAGCGATTTTGCCCACTTAGAACAATTACATAGTCCTAGTTGACCAAATTCTTAGCTATTTTACTAGTATGTCTTCCATTTTATCATTTAAGCACAAGAACTTGTACAATCAACCATTTCACCAACTCAATAAAGTGATCAGAAATTGGTAATTTGGCCCATTTCACACAAATTTCAAAATATTCCAGTTTCAAAACAGGGTCCAGAATAAACAATGCAGGCATGAATTCCATTTTTCTTTTTTATTCACATAAAAAATAGAAGACTGTATAAATAATATCAGAGCATTCATGAACACATATTAGACACAGCAATTGACTTGTATTGGACACATGATGTGATTTGTTTATGCTTGAATATTGGCAAAAATTTAACATACCTACTACTTTGAGTGCCACTTCAAGCTATTTCCAATCAAAATGATCTCTATTTATATATTTTCCATTCTATCAAATGAGACCAAGAAACCGAGAATAAAACCATAAAAACTAAGACAATACAGTGCAAAGTTGCTGTTTTAAACCAAAAACATGGTCTTTCTTTTTTCTCATTATGCAATGTGTGCTGCAGGATTTTTTTTTATATGGCCCAAATTTACTGCTCACAACTTATCTGAGTGAGCAGAGCTCATCATGTAGTACTATGGTATGGCCATTGAACTCAAAGGCATAGCATTACGGCAGTCAGCGAAAGGGTTAATCCACTGCCATCGTTAGTAATGTTCAACTAACTTATCTTAATTTGCTATGATCTGTGCCAATTTGTTGTTAGCATGACTAATTTACAATCACATTACAGACATTATAATTACAATATTCTTCTCAATGAACTGGCCATATCCACTGAGGAGAATCACAATATATTTGAAATAATTCTGAGTCCATTACTCAATCAAAACAATATCTGTAATTCTAGCAATGTTTCATTCAGTGACAGGGCATCCAACTTCTTTTCATTCATAATATTAACAATTCTTTCTTCTCACACATTCAAACTATCCACTTCAGAATTTTGTTCTGTCTTTATTAGTAATTCATACAGGAGAAGGGGTTACTAGTCCCTTGCTCACTCCTGGCATTTTAGTTGCCTTTTATGACACACTGCTGATGTAGGAAGAATTCTCACCCACTTCCCATGGAATGGAAAGGAAACATTAAAAGGACACAAACTATTAGGAAAATCAGAGGGAAACATCAATATATTATACGTTATTCAGGTAACAGGAACAATAGACACATCTGAAAATGTAATCTTGCCACAGGTTTAAAGCACTGCATAGAGAGCAATAATTACATTAGAGATTAAAATTTAAACCTGTGATATCAAAGAATACACTGTTCATCAAAATTCCAACTTACTTCACCAGTTGTAATCAAGTAATGCAGATACTGTATGAGAGAGAGGGCATGGCTGAAAGACAGTCTTGGTAGATCTATGAGTAATTGCGTGTCTGTAAATGGCTTCTGCAAAACTCCATTTATGAAATGTGCCTTGCTGGAGTTAAAAGGACACAAGATTTCTGTAAAGATAAAAATACACTTGTCTCTTCCCTAATTGATGAATTCTTAATGTTTCACCAAGATTGACTTTAGTGATGATTATTATATAATAATAGAAGGCAGATGGGGCAGCATAAATAAAATCCAGCAGCATTTGAAAATGGTCATCACATACCAAATTTAGTGGTTCCAGATAAACCATACACTAATTTTATAAAGTACTATATCTCATATTTATAGTTATTGCATAATAATCTCATTTTGTTAGTCAGTATATTTATCAATCTCTCTTTCATTTTTTTCCAATTCAAACTTGAAATTTTAAACCAAATGACTATCTGAAACATGGGATAAAGGATGCCAAGTTCTCCACAAAGGCTTGCTAATGAATATGATGCCCTCACAAGCAAGAGGTGACTGGGTATACATATATTATACAACAAGCTCCAACCCAAGCTGAGTATTATAAAGACAAATAGTGCATGGTATAAATTTATGGCATTTTTAGAAGATGTCTGAAATTATAAAAAGAATTTGTTTACAGTATGTAGAACAGATGACTACTAAATGATGAAACTGATTTAAACTGGCAAATAATATACATTTCTGTCAGATAAAATGGTAGTTACGTAAAGTTCCAAAATACAGTGTGCAAAAAAAAAAAAAAAATGCACGTAAACTGAATTGAAGAACAGATGTGAAAAATAAGGCTACATTCATTAAAGCCCTCCTAAAAAAAAAAGCCAACCAAATATAATGGAGGTCAATGTGGTGATGTGTATGTCAATCAAAGATACTATAAATCACATCTCTGCTAGCAGAGAAAGGGTTTCCTACTCATTACAACTGTATAGGGGTTATAAAGGGGGGTTAGAGTGGTTGGGGTGTACACAGGAAGGGTAAGCAGTCGGGGTTAGTAGGTTTGATGTGGGGGGTGGGGACTGGTGGACTGCTGTTGAAATAGGTGGAGACTGAATGGTGGAAGGGCAGAGGCAGGAAACAACGAGGCAGTGTGATGGTGACTGTTTGGGGAGCAGTGCTGGTGTCCTGATATGGGTACTGGGTGACTGAGTGGGTGGCTACATGACTAGGTGTGTGTCGGGGCCATGAAAGCATGGGTAAGGTGTGGGCTTGGGGCTGTGTGTGCATGAAGTTGTGGGGCAGTGGTGTAAGTGACAGCATGGATAAATATGGGAGTGGAGCAGTGTGGGCTTGAAGCTGTGGGGAAGCAGTGTGGGTAAACGATGTTGTCAGTGGCCTGGTGTGGATGGTGATTGGATGATGGGTGACTGGATGGATGTGTGGGTGGTGACGATGATGGGTGACTGGGAGAGTGAATGTGTGGTTGGTGGTGTAGGTAGTAATGAGGGTGGTTGGTGACTAAGTGATTAGATAAGTGCAGCACGTTAGGGTGAAAGGTTGGGTAAAGTTGTGGGGAAATGGTGTGAGTGAAGATGTGGAGCTGGGCAAGGTGTGGGCTTCACCTATCCCCTCGCCCACATGCCCTCAACCTCCTGCAATATATCAGAGGGCTGGGTGGCTTTGGACTGACACCACTTATCTCCCACAACTGCCCTTCACCCATACTTCCTCTCCATGCTTCCGTTATTATTATTATTATAATAAAAAAGAAGTGCTAAGCCACAAGGGCTATACAGCGCTGCAGGGTAGGGAAGGAAGCGAGGGCATTGGGCGGTAGAAGGGGGGGAGGGATGATCAGTAGGTTACAGAAAACAGTGGGGCAGGGGATAGTGCGGGGGTAGAGGGCAGCAAGAGATTGAGGTAGAAAGGGCTGAAGGTATCATCAGAGTTTGTGAAGTAAGTCAGTTGTCAAAAAGTCAATGAGAGAGTCCGGATGAAAGGTGGGTCCATCAGTGAGAAGGGAAGGTAAAGAGAGAGCAGCGGAGCGAAGACGACGTTGGGAAAGGTATATACTGCGTGCTCGTTGATAAAGTGGGCAGTCTAATAGAATGTGGCTAACCGATAATGGAACCTGACAATTCTCACAGAGAGGAGCAAGGTGCCTCTCCATGAGATAACCATGAGTAAGACGAGTATGGCTAATGCGAAGAGGGGAAGAGTAGTCTCCCAACCTCGACACTGGTGACAAGAAGACGGCCAGTAACCTATACTCGGTTTAATAGATTGAAGTTTGTTACCGAGCAGAGTAGACCAACGTTGTTGCCAACGGGTGTGAAGGTGGGTAGCTATTGCAGCAAAATAGTCCTAAATGGAACCCCTCTATTGAAACTGGTAGGTCATGTACTGCTGACCCGCGCAGCAGTGTCGCCTGTTCATTGCCTTGTACGTCAACATGACCAGGGACCCAACAAAAAACAATATCTTTACGCTTGGTAAAGATGTGGCATAGCCAAAGTTGGATAGAAAACTCAGGGTGAGGTGTATCAAATTTCTGTATAGCCTGTAAAGCACTAAGGGAGTCTGAGACAACCAACAAATGATGACACAGGCATAGATGCAATACGGATAAGTGCGCAAGAATGGCATACAATTCAGCAGTAAAAATACTAGCCGAAGATAGTAAATTGCCCTCGTACGACGCTGTCTGGAAACACGCTGCGAATCCTACGCCATCAGAAGACTTAGAGCCATCTGTGTACACTGCAATGGCATGAGAATGAGAGTGGAAGTGGTCAAGAAAAAGAGAGCGGGAAGCGACCATAGACAGTTGGGGGTTTCAAGCAAGGGAGAAAAGAAAGAACAGACTCGAAAGCTGGAACTTCCCCGGGGGGTAGGGAAAAGTGAGATGCTACATGAACATAGAAAGGTGGTAATTGAAGAGAAGACAAGAGCGAATGAAGGCGAAGAGAGAAAGGACGGAGTAAACAGGGGCGGCGAACAAATAAAGAATGTCTACTAATATCAGTGACCATTCTATAAATGGAAGGATTGCGGAGATCATGAGAGCGTACATAGTAGCGAAGGCAATGGGCATCACGGCGATCGGATAAGGATGGAACATTCGCTTCTGCATAGAGGCTCTCAACAGGGGAAGAGCGAAAAGCACCAAGGCATAAACGTAATCCTTGGTAATGAATGGGGTTAAGGCTAGAGAGAGTAGCAGGAGAGGCCACTGAATAGATCTGGTCACCATAATCAAGTTTAGATAAAAGGAAGCTGGAATGTAGGCGAAGGAGAGTTTGACGATCAGCTACCCATGAAAGATGAGCAAGGTTTTAAAAAAGGCTCATCGGCTGTGACAAGTTCCCTTTAGAGAGGTAATGTGAGTTTCCAGGATAACCTACGGTCAAAGAGGAGGCTAGAAACCTGACTGTATCACGTTCAGGGATACGGGAGCCATAGAGGTACAAAGGATGATCGGAGATGACAGAGCATCTAGTGAAAGTAATTTGGTGAGTTCTGGTGCTGGAAAATTTAAACCCATGTGTGGTGGCCCAATTGGAAACACAGTCGACCGCATGTTGGAGAGAAACTGTAATGAGGTGAAAGTCAGCGCCTGCACAGGCAATAAACGAAGTCATCAAACAAGAGTGATGACCAAATATTTGATGGAAGACTAGAGCCAAATCTTTATAGCAAGGAGAAAAAGTGTTGTGCTCAGAACACATCCCTGAGGACACCTTCACTTGGATAAAGTCCGGGGAGAGCACATTATTAACCCGAACACGGAAATGTCTGTCAGTTAAAAAGTTCTTAAGGAAGGATGGTAGACTGCCTCGGAGGCCTAAGGAGTGGGCTTGGGCCAAAATATTATACCTCCAAGTTGTGTCATATGCCTTCTCAAGGTCAAAAAATATGGCAATAACTGAGTGGTTATTCGCAAAGGCATTACGAACATACGTATCCAAGCGTAGTAAGGGGTCTATGGTAGAACGGCCCTAACGAAAGCCATATTGACGAGTGGAGAGACTGTTGTGTGTCTCTAAATACCACACTAAATGTCTATTTACCAGGCGCTCCATCACTTTGCAAACTGCACTGGTAAGAGCAATGGGACGATAGTGGGAGGCTTCATGTCCCGTAGTACCCGGTTTGCGGAAAGGGAGAACAATGGCAGATTTCCACAGCTGTGGAAGAACTCCTTGTGACCAAATAAGATTGAAAAGGCGTAATAGGACTGCAAGGGCTGACTGATGTAAAAGTTGTAGCATATGAATATGAATGTCGTCGGGCCCAGCTGCCGATGATCGGCAAGCTGAAAGTGTTGCCTCCAGTTCTTGAAGTGTAAAAGGCACATTATACTGTTCTTCTCTGAGAGATGAAAAGTCCAAGGGTGCTAACTCTCTGGCAGACTTTGAGGAAAGAAACGAGGGGCATAGATGGAGCCCCTAAGAAATATGGACCAGATGATTGCCAATTTCATTGGCAACATCTAGTGGGTTTGCTATATCAACACCGGCAACCCGCAGAACAGGAGCTGGGTCAGGAGAATATTTACCACTCAGTTTTCGTACTTTTTCCCAGACTGCACTCATAGAGGAAGCAGAGGTAATGGTGGAGACATAATCTCACCAGCAAGTGCGTTTAGCATCACGGATGACACGGCGAGCGATCGCACGCTTCTGCTTAAAATCAAGAAGTCTCTCCGTGGTTCTATTGTACCGGTACCTGCCCCATGCAGCGCATTTCAAACGTACTGCATGAGCACAAGCAGGAGACCACCAAGGCACGCATTTCTGAAAATGCCTGCCCGAAGTTTGGGGTATAGAATGAGAAGCAGCGGTTAAAACGGAGGACGAGAAGAGGTGTAAAAGCTCATCAATGGTGGACGAAGAAGGAACCTCACTAAAAACAGTTAGTTGTGAGTAAAGGTTCCAATTTGCCTGATCGAATTGCCAGCGTGGGATACGAAGAGGTGGTGAATATGAAGGGAAAGTAAGAATGATTGGGAAATGATCGCTGTCATGTAAATCCGGGAGAACAGACCAGGTGAAGTCTAATGCGGCGGAGGAAGAGCAGACTGAGAGATCGATGCAAGAGAGAGTGTGAGTCCGAGGATCAAAATGGGTGTGAGTAGCTGTATTTAAAACATGGAGGG